GTGCGACATTTTTGAAGACCCGAAAACTTCTCGATTCCTCTCCAATGTCTTTGTAAGGACGATTCCAGCAAAATTGCATTGGGCACGTTGTAATCAACGCACTCTGCTCGCTCTTCTGCTTTGTATTTGTTGAGCGGCAAGGAAGTCTTACTACATTTTGACCACGATACTTACTTAAAGGGAAGCTACCTAACTTAGCTAGGCCTTCGGCAAAGTACATATATATTCTGAATCAGCTTTGAACGCTTCCAAATATGCTACTCCTGCCGCGCACCATTTCGAAGCGAGTTATGGCCCTTTTTCCCGTGCAAATTGACATGCTTATCGACTCACTGGCATCACGTTTGAGTGCTAATACACTTGCGTCAAGCATTTTTCTAGTAAGAAAAGATTGGATTTGTGTTATCTCGATATCTCAGCATCTTTTTCTTGCAGGTTTTTACCTACAGGATGTCTTCCCATTTTCAGTATTATGCCAATTTTGCGGAGAGAAAAGCTCATAACTCGCTTTGGAATGGTGCGTGGCAGCTGAAAATGGCATAATTGGAATCATCGTTTGGAGCTGATTCAGAATATATATATATGTATATATATATGTCCCTTGCCAAAACCTCGAGCTAAGTTAGATAGCACTCCTTTAGATAGCCCGGCTTTACGCGGCGTGCGGGCCCCAGCACAGAACTCTCCATGTATTCTTGTAACTCGCTTCAGACATCCACGATCTTCTTGACGTCGGCGGCTGCGTTCACAAGTCTCAGGTGCAAAAATGGTCCAGCTAATTTCTCAGCTGGTCCATCCGTCCCACGAGCACGTCTACCCACCTCGTTGGAGGTCTTCATCAGGGACGTTTTGCTTAACGAGGAATTCACTCTGATGTTTTTGGTGTTCATCTTTCATCTGTGCTTCTCATGATGTGACCGGCCCCATCGGTGCTTCGCTTTCGCAGCGTAATCCGCTGGGTCACGAAGACGGGACATTCTCCTGATATCCGTACTGCGAAGTCCGACGAGATGTTGTTTGTGTCGGGTCATCTTCAGAAGACTTCGCTCTAGTGCTGTGTGGGTGGTCCGTAAGGCTTTCGACGTGGCTACTGTGTCGGCCCAAGTCTCAGATGCGTAACAGAGCGCCAGAAGAACGGTTCCGTCGATTAGGTGAACATGAAGCTCCAGGTCCGTCAGTTGGTCGGTGGCTTCCTTCAGAGGTCTGAAGGAGGCACAGGCTGCTCTTCTTCTCTTCTTTCCTCAAGTCTTCTCCATCATCGAATGTCCGAAATACAACGTAAAAAGACTTCTCCATCGTAGGGATTCGTTCCAGTTCCATTTCTGCATCTTCGCGAACGGCGTTCTTCATGAGAGTCTTCTTCCGATTTATTCGCTATCGATCTTCTTTCCTACTTCGTTTAGTTCGTCTCCGCTCAAGCGATACTGCCCAAAAAGAGAACGATGTCATCCGCAACACGAAGAGTCAATAGGAATCCCCCATCAACTCGCATGTTTCTTTCGTCCCAGTCCAGTGACTTCATCACTCACTGCAAGGCCGCGGTGAACAGCTTCGGCGAAATCGTGTCGCCCTGTCGGACCCCGTTCCCAATCGGGATGATCAGGGGGCGATGAAACAGCTGTCGTTGTACAATCCTTGTAACAGTCGGCCAACGTCCTCACGTAAACTGGGTCCACTCCTTGATCGACTAGCGCTGACAGGATGGCGTTGGTTTCAACGCTGTCAAAGGCTTTCTCGTAGTCGACGAGAAGGTTAGGACGAGAGGCAGTCGGTACTCCCGGCAGATTTCTATAACCCTCGAAACCGTCTGGATGTTTTCCATGCAGCTGTCCTTTGAAAAGTTCAGCTTGTTCTTGGGATTGGGCTTCATCCAGTGTCCTAGATATGCGAGCAAGATAAATCTTCGTGAAAAGCTTGTATAGCACACCCAGCAGGCATATTGGACGGTAGTTCCAGAGAACCTCCTGTTCGCATTTCTTGAAGAGAAGTACGGTTTATGATGTTCTTCACTGGTCGGAAATTCTCCTTCTGAAGGTAAGATATCAGGTGTATCGCGAGAATCTCGTGTAGACGTTGTCCTCCAGCTCGCAGAATCGACGGAAAGATGGTCTGGTTCCTTGGGCCGTAGACATCTTCATGGTCTGAATCGCTGTGCGCACTTTAGCAGCTAGAATTCGTGGTGGTACTTCTCCAGTGGGAACAACGGGCATTGGCACGAGTGTTGATGAGCGGAAGAGGTTGGCGTAATTTTCTTCGCGATCGATTCTATCTTATATAGGGAAGAAGTCGGGGTCCTGCCTTCGTTGAATAGTGCAGCCAGCGACAGTTATAATCGCAGAGGTCCCTTCGGCACTTCATAAGACTTTGTCTTCCTTCGAATCCTCCAGTATTTTTGCCTGCCCGTACTTCCTGAGATCCCCCTGCAAAGTTGTTTTGCAATTGGCTTGGCTATCAGTCGCTCGAGATGGGTTGCATTCGGATCCTGCCTCAAATCCTTTTTCAAGTACCTCGGTGGTCTTCGAAATGCGTTTCAGGTTGTTCTTGAAAGTGACTGAGGCACTTTCCGAAGGCTCGAAAGGCTTTCAGGAGCCGGTCATAGTCGTACGTAAGATCCTTCTCAGTGGGCCAATCACAAATTGATAAGAGCTCTTTCAATTTGTTATCGTCATAAACGACACTCTTCCTTCCTGCGATGTGTGACAGACTTCCTTTTCCAGCTTTCGATGAATTGTACCTTCGCTCGAAGGAGTCGGTGATCGGAGCCACTGCAGATGGATGGAACTGCTGAGATCGAACAAGCACCTTCGGTTGGTGAGAATGAGGTTGATCTCCGCGTGGGTCGCTCCATTGGGCGATTCCCATGTCCACCGGCGATGTTCTTTCTTCACAAAGATGGAATTTCCATGGAAAAGTCGTGGCGGAGAGAAGCCCAACGAGACGGTTGCCGTTCTCGTTTTGGAGCCCATATCCAAACTTCCCAATCCTATATTCCTTCTCTAGATTCTCTCCCCACAACAAGCTTGTACAAGGACTTTTCATTGCGGACGGTTTCCTCCACGTTTTCATAGAAAGCGTCTAGTTTTCGTCAGCTGTTGATGTTAGCGAGTAGCAGTTGATGATGCTGATGGTCTTCTGACGAGGAGGGCGTAGTCGTAGGATGGCTAGTCGAGCTGATAGGATCTCATGCGAATCGACAAGGTGGACGATAGATGGGTGGACGACAAAGCCGGCGCTTCCCACTTTTCGTGATGGAACCTTGTCACCACGAATGATGAGGGTCTCATCATTCACTATCGCACGTCCTTCTTCCTGGACTTCGCTTCCTGCAGAGCGATGATGTGGCACTTGATGTGCTTTGCAGCGTCGAGAAGAGCGTGAAGGTCGGCGTTTATGGAGATCGTCCTAGCGTTGTAGATGCAGAGCATGAGGCAGTCTCAATAGCGTGTCGTCCGGGCAGACGTGTCGTTTTTGTCCAATCCGAAAGGCGCCCTGAGTACCCTAACATCGTTCTTGCTACCACGCGGCGCCGTAGTCGGGATCCGATGTGCAGGGTTCATTTTTCTTCTTTTGCTGATCGAGTAATAAAAATTTTCCCCTACGAGAGCAGACTTACTAGGCCAACTCTTAATTTCTCAGGACCATCGCTGACCCAGGCGTGGAGCGGGGAAGACCGCCAAGCGACCGGAAAAAGTCGGACGGCGGAGAATCTGGCTTGGACGGCTCTTAGCTAAGCATCCGGCCGAAACCGAAAAAGGCGAACTCCTTCACAGCTTGAGAGGTTCTGCCAGAGTATACACTTAGCTGCACATCGTAGTTCGCACTCACCGTCCCCCCCCCCCCCACGCCATGTTAAGGCGGCAGGCACTCTCCAAACTGTGTGCCACCCAGTTAACCACATATACTACCTGCAAAAATTTTGGTATTTCAATAGGTTTGCTGCTTGCTGATTTGTGATGTTTGTACCAAATGCTGCAACTGTCGCTTTTTGAGAATTGTTCTGAATGAGGCCCTTTTTCTTCACCTTGACGAAGGGCAGCTTGCTTTCAAACATGTCAGCACATTTAGAGAAGGCTCCCCGGTCCATTTTCCTTGATTGGAACACCTTTGAATCTCGCATACTTGTCTTACCACGCAGTCCTGACAGCCCAATGACATCATTTTATGAAAGCATGCAAAATTTGGGGCGTGCAGTCCATTGTAGCGCTTTATAGTGTTTTCGGGACTAAAATGTTAACCAGTTGGGAAGTTTGCATCAATAGAAATGTAAATTGATGGAGACTTTCGCACAAACTTACCAAGTTCTCGTAGTTATTTTCATCAGAAACTCATAGAAGAATACTTTCATCGTTTGTTTGTTAACGAATGTAGAGTTTGTGGAATTTGGGTTGGGAAGGACGAGAGGAAGGATGGGTAAGGAAAACTCGGAAATGCACTCGATTTTCAGGAAGATTACAATTGAAGTTCAATCAAGTTGAGTCAAAACTGCATAGGCAACTGTCTTACCTGCCAATAGTCGCGAGAATGTTGAAACTTTGAGAACAAAACCAACTTCCTCCTTTCAAAAGAAAAGGTAGAAAATAAATTGAGCTGCTCCTTATACAAATCCATCGACTTTAGTAATTCAACTCTCTTTCCTGCACTACCTGTATCAATCGTGTCAATGGTATAAATAGAAAAAGTATTTTACTCAATTTGTATACCGCCTTCTGGCCATCAGATTGTCAGTTATTGATGGTCTAGCCCATTTCGCAAAGTTCCATCTAGTAGGGAAGTTCTTGAAAATTCTTCAATCGTATCAGTATTTCTCAGCCTCTACTGCACATGCAAGTAGGAAAATTGTGGTTCTATGTAGGGTTGCCCTCGTTTATTGAGCTTTATCAGAATTCGCTGTGGAAAACTTTCAGTGTCCGGGGATATTCATTTCGCATCATAATAACATTTTTGCAAGTTGCGCACTCAATTATTCACCACTTCACGTTAGTGTAAAGACTTTTTGCAATATCCACATGGGCTTCTTACGCTACGCCGCAATCCTGGGTGTTGCTGCGATCCTCATTAAATATGGTATGAATCTGCTTTACTCAAAGCATCCCCTTCATTTTGGTGGAAAGGTGGACAGCAAGTATAAAAGCGTACGGAAAGCCTTTGAGTGAGTCAGGTGTGGTTTTGTGTTCGCATGATTGGCAAGCATTTACATTTAGGCAAAATTTCATCGATGAATTGGAAACAGAAGGTGCTTCTTTTGCAGTTTATGTAAAGGGGCAAAAAGTAGTTGATCTGTGGGGAGGTTACGCGGATTTACAAGCAGCAAGGACTTGGAGGGAAGTACTGCAGAGTGTCCATCTATCTGGTCGATAGAGTAAATAAAGTACGATTTAGGATACATTGAGTGTTGTATTCTCGACTACCAAAGCCGTAGCTGCGCTTTGCATCGCTGTATTAGCCGATCGGGGAAAGCTCAGTTACGATGATCTCGTATCGAAGCATTGGCCAGGATTTGCTAAAAATGGAAAAGAAAACATTACCATCGGATGGGTAATGTCTCATATGGTGAGCAAATAACCGACGAAATCAAGCAATATTGAAATGTTCGTTCTAGGCAGGTCTATACTATTTCGAAGAGCCTATCACCAAAGAAATGGCTACAAACCACAATCTTATGAGAGAGCTGATCGAAAACGAAACGCCTAAAGTTCCACCAGGAACCAGCTTTGGTTATCACGCATACACTTTTGGATGGCTTGTAGACCAAATTGTGAGACATACTGACGGGAAAAAAAGAGGAATCGGACAGTTTCTGCGCGAGGAGATCACTGGACCAAACGGTAAGAAGTATGCACTTTGGACAAGGAATATCCAAATGGCAGGAAAGCGGTTCTTATATGATGAGATAAAAGATACTTACTTCTAACATGAAAGCGCATATTGAGATTTAGGAATCGACTTTCATATTGGTCTTGATCTGTCCGAGGAATATCGCGTAGCTCGTGCAGTTACAATTGAGACCTCAGTAATGATTAAGGAGATTCTCAGCAATTATCGTCAGGCCATGATGGTCTTAAAATATTACTTATCGAGAACGGTAAATTTTCTACATAATTCAGTACAGGAATCAGTCAAGCTAGAATGCCTCTGTTTCAGGAAGTTCCTTGGAGCAAAGCTCTCAGCAACCCTTCTTGGATGAAGTTGGCATCGCCGTTTACGATGAATGATCCGGAACAACACGCTATGGAACAGGCAGCAGCGCTTGGAATAGGAAATGCACGAGCATTGGCGAAAATGTTCAACCTGGTCAGAATGAACTTTGTTTGAAAATTGATACAGTGCTTGGTGCCATTAAGATAGTGAAAATGATCGAAAAAGGGAAAAACCTCAGTATGATAGTTTCCTAAATTTTGGACTTGGAAGAAAGGGTTGCAATTTTTTGCTGATTATCCTTTTGTTTTTCTAGCAGCGGTTAAGCAAGTGCATTTGGGGGCAATGTTTTCATGCTTTTTGGTGTGATAGCCTAGGCATAGTCTTTTGGTACAAACTCTAGATCTGTAATGAACTCAGTCATTGTATGACGAGCTGGGAAATTCAGCTGAACTTAGCTGTAGAATTCTTTTAAAAGACGTATCTCACTAATAAATCTGGTTTCAGTAACAATTTTCTGACTTAGAAAAATCTATGACTGTGTTTCAATCTTTCCAAAGCGTTCATAGATCTCCGAAAGCGACCTAGGTAATCTTTAGCGAAGTCAGCCTATTCAATGTTTGCAAGCAGTTGTTGTCGCAGAAACGGTAGTGTGAACTATTTCAAGAAGCTTGGAATACTTCTTATATATATATATATATATATATATATATATATATATATATATATATATATATATATATATATATATATATATAATCCTGCTTCTTGTGTCCTCATATTAATGAAATGGCAACCTTGAAGCACGAGAGGCACTGATTCTTATGAGTCACAAGAGATAAAGCTGTGTGAACTTTGATGAGAACAAAGATTTCCTTTTTTTGCCTTAGTTTTTGAGCTTGTAAAAAAATATGCAAAGTGTGATGTTTCTGATGCAATTCCAAATCATGTTTTTTCAGCTCGTCACCAAAAGGTTAATTAGCGAGAAGACGCTAGCATTGCTCAAGGAGCCTGTGGTAAATGGAACCGATTACGTGATGGAAATGCAGATGGCTTTCGGACATGGTTTTATCTATCATCCACCAATCACTAGCGGAGTGAGTTGAAACATTGTATACGTACTTAATGCATATGATGGAGGACACACGTTTCAAAGCCAGCGGAAATTTGCAATTTTTCATCAATCGTTTGTCCACCTGTTTAAAGAGATGTAAAAACCACAGTTCATTAGATTAATGCCGAAGCAACTCCTTTTGTCCGTCTCAATGCTAAGACTAACACAGAGTTGCTCATCTATCTAGCATCTCATTCTCTAATTCTTGACCCTATAGTCAGCGAGTAGCGCAAATCAACATGAAGTCTTCTGGCTGTATGGAATGGTCTTTGTTTGGGCTCCTTATGACCTGAACCGTATAAGCTTGCTGAATCTGAAAGTTCCAGTGCTTTTGGATTCCTCTGGATGAAGCTGCTGACCCATTTGGCTGTTTTTCCGCCTGAAACTAAACCAAATTTACTCATTCGACAGTACATGCAAAAATATCTGGATGCGCTTAGGACCCTCCTATTCTACTAAAATATGCATTCACTAATATAGACTTTTGTCCACTCCAGCTACGCTAAGCATTCGACTTAATCATCTTTGCATACATTCCAACCAAAAGTTTATGGCTCTTAATTTGAGAAAACTTCCTTTACGTTTCTGTCTTCTGCAGCTTGCCTTTATCCCGCTGATAAATGGATCTATGCTAACGTTTGTAGCGATTCTGGAATCCAAGGAAGATTTGAAATATTCATCATTTCACTAAGATTTCATCCATAATCACCACCAGAAGGGTTCAAAGCGCTGCTGTTCAGCCTTATTGTTACTTTAAGCTAAAATCACATATACTGACACACATAGCAATGGAAATACCGCTGTTACTATTATTTATCAAATAGTTAAAGTTTATCATTATCACTTTGTCAATTAATCACTTATTGATACTGTAGTATTAGTTTGTCCGGAAATCAATGCCCGTTTTGAATTTCAACCGCCATAAATCATACACTTCTCACTTTTAAATATTTTGCATGGTACCATTCGATAGAGCAATGCAAGCTCTATAAGATGGTTGTCTAGCTTTTGCAACAGCTCTCATCCACCTGGAATTTCAAGCCAAAAACTGAAAAGACTCAGCTGCCCGGAAAATCGAAAAAAATCGTAACTCGGTTCATAAAAATCCTACAAAAATTCTTACTTGCTCACGTAAACACTATCGACATAAGACATCTATATACGTCTTTGCCGTATTTCTTCCTCTGTTAGAAATCAAGAAAACAGAAATTTTCGTGCATTCGCTCAAGTGATGCTGTGCAGTCCCCACATAGGTAATTGTATGCTACAAACCCGTAGAAGTACAAACGTAAATTCTCAGCTCTCTACAAGCTTTAGTTCTCGAGAAATACCGAATAAAGCTTTCTTTAGTCCGGTTGTCCAAGCTGAAATTCAAATTTCTCGAGAACTAAAGCTTGTGTAGAGCTGAGAATTTGCGTTTGTACTCCCACGGATTTGTAGCATACAACTACCTATGTGGGGACTGCACAGCATCACTTGAGCGAATGCACGAAAATTTCTGTTTTCTTGATTTCTAACAGAGGAAGAAATACGGCAAAGACGTATATAGATGTCTTATGTCGATAGTGTTTACGTGAGCAAGTAAGAATTTTTGTAGGATTTTTATGAACCGAGTTACGATTTTTTTCGATTTTCCGGGCAGCTGAGTCTCAGTTTTTGGCTTGAAACTCGAGGTGGATGAGAGCTGTTGCAAAAGCAAGACGGCCTTCTTGTAGAGCTTGCTTTCCTCTATCAAATGATACTTTGCAATCTATTTAAAAATGAGAAGTATATGATTTATTGCGGTTGAAATTCAAAACGGGCATTAATTTCTGGACAACCTGATACATTCAACCTGTACTGCGGCTATCTTCCTATGCAAAAGCAGTTGTAAATCTTTCTTACCGCTCTCATCTGACCCCATTCTGAGGAATTTCAGCAATACCGGTGTAAATTCTTGCCTTTCGATACTATTTACTTGTGAGCTTTGGTCTATCATGTATTGGTTGACAAAAGTGAAAGATTCGCTTCGTAGTTTATGAAGAACTGACTTCCTCCAATAAAACAGAGCACTCAATTTTGTAGATGAAGAGAAGATGATATTTCAGGGCAATCCCATCGCGGGACATGCCGGTTATGGCTGTCAGGAAGTGAACTTTGACATAACAAACGGAGTCGCCATCGCGTATGTCACCAATGGTTTGAAATTGGGGATGTTCGAGGACTGCCCCACCTATTCACGGTTACAAAAAGCTGTGTACGACGTTCTACAAAATTACCGGTCTTAAAACGAAATGCAAGCAAGTGTTCTATTTTTGTTTTCACTTCCGTACTGTATTTTTTGTTACTCAGGACGCATCAAAGCAATGGAATTAAGTGCTTGTTGATTTGTATTGCGTATCAAGTGAATTCCAGGGGGTGGCGGACTTTATGAACGATAGCGCGCGCTTAGGCAGGCGTGTGTCAATAAGGTGCGCACCGTTAGCCCCGCCTATCGCAAGATGGACGAGTTTTTTGCAGTACAGCTCTAGCATATAAGCTTGTTGCAAGCTGGGGTGAAGCTTGACTATTTACAGAATTTTTTTTGCTTTCTTGTTTCATTTTTTGCCAGTCACGAACAGCTATTTTGATCATGAAATTCAAGAGACTTGCTGATTTATCTATGAATGACCGAGTGACTCCTGGATATCCAACTTTGAAGTGTGAAATCAATCTAGAACACCTCAGGCATGATTGTCTGAGTGACCTCACATCTTACGACTACTTCACACGCAATTTCTTTGAGTTACAGATCAATCAATACTGAGGGTAGCAGTTTTTGAAAGCAAACAAAAGAATTTTGTTATTTAAAGCAGATTCCCCCCTTAATAAGGGGGCGGAGCGATCAGCGCACCGCGTACAGTACCCAGCTGGCGGCTGGCACATGCTATCGTTCATAAAGTCATACACCCAATTCCAGGATGCATCAGTAAATACTAAGTCCGAGTGAGTCTCATGATACCGAAGGGCTTCGCCATCATTTTGCACTTCTTTATATCTTCTAACATTAACAAGCTCTCAAACTCTCCTATCACTCCTACCTTACATGAGGCCGCTGAATGGTGCGTTCCAAATGAGTATAGCCTGGGCTAAAGTTCTCAAGTTTGTCGATCAGGAAGAAATCGTATAATTTGCCGATTAAACAATGGCTCTAAATCTGATTGTGTCTGAAGTGGTTCTTTTGCCGCTGAACGAATGTACTACGAATAAGTTGACATACAAATCATGCACGAGTACTTCATGAGCCATTTACTTATGTTCTCATACCATCCACAGAGTGAACGTGCACCGTAATCATCTCTTATTATTTTTATTGAACAGAGACGATGCATTGGAAAAAAATACATACAGTCGGCTCAAAATCTCAGAATCTTTAACTCTCTAGCATTTCAGCAATGGTGGATAACGACTTGCACAAATATTAGGTTGGCCGATAATTTCTGTTAAACTTTTACTTTTTTTTTCTTAAAAATCTAAGACTATAGGAAATTCTTATGTTCAAGGAGTGTCGACAATTGTTTACCCACCGGTACTGTCAGATTCGTGGTCCATGCGCAAAACACCCACTTTTATCGGTGAAGTACTTTTCTATGGACATTTTTGTCAACGGGCTGGCACTCCTCCAGGTGGCCGGGGAGAGACAGGGAGATGTGGAAATTGCGCAGGGTAAGGTGGCTGTTTGGTACGGTGTTTGCTGGCTCTTTATGCATTTGCGGCATCAATCATACGATTGTGTATGCTCTGTCGTGCCCTATATATGGAGCAAATTTGAGATTCTGGAAAGGTTCCGATTTCTATAGAATTTTGTAATAAAAAGTGTAATAGAATAATCCGCCAATCTATTACAATAAGCAGCTTTTTTCAATGAAAAAAAGTTTGACACATAAAAGATCTGAAATAGTGCCTTAGGATGCATTTTTAGGCTTGCACAACTTCGACAACTGTCATGCATTCCCGCTTTCATCGCATTGGTAACGGCAATGACGACCTCATTCGTTGTATCGAATTTATCGAATTTCACTTTTTCGTAACCATATCCTCCATGTCCGATGATGAAAACCTAAAATAAAGAGCCAGCGTTAAAGGCAGCGTCCCACCAGACTGGGGGGGGGAGGAGGGTACCTGGCTCTGGTGATAATGTAGTAGTAGACTCCTTAACTAAGCGACGACAGAGGTTTGCAGCGCGAAAAGGGTCTACAAGGCTTACAAATCCCCTCCCCCAAGTGGCCCGCACAGGCTCGGCACGAGCTGGCACCAGGGAAATTTCAAAGGAAGTCCCGTTTTATTTTGAAAATTTCGTACGAAGTCCCCTTTGACCTGTTTTGAAGACCCGTCTTTATTTTTAGATCATGTAAAAGTATGTAGTAGGGTTTTCATGCATGCTAATTTCATAAAACAACTTTGCACAGCTTCCTGAGCTTTTTAAGCAATTGAATCACATGTTGAGAAGCAGAAAAAACCGATTTTTCGGCTGCGGAGCAGATCAAGCAATTTTCAGATGGCTATAAAACGCTGGAAAAAAACATTATGAAATTGTTTCTTCTCTGTATGTAAACTTCTACTACGGTGTAGATACTTTTAATGTAAAAATCTATGATTATGTGAGCAAAGTGTCGGTGCCAGCTCAGCTGGCACCCAGCTGGCACGGTGCCAGCTAATTCAGAAAGTTCAGTACAGCCTTCATTCACATAAGTTTTCATAAATTCTTGGGGCATAGTTCGGATCCCCCAACGCGCATGCACACACCAAATTTGGTGTCATACTATTGCGTTTTGGCTGAAAACAACGCCTTTATTGTTTGATGCGACGGCATTCTTGCGGCTCTTCTCCGCCCCGGACCCCGGAAAAACGATATATCCTTTGCTTTCGCCCTAAAAAAATATCCACCTTGACCCGGTGCCAGCTGTGCCGGCATCTTACGGTAGAGGAGCAGAGTCGTTGCGGGACCCTGCGCTCATGACTGTGTGCACTATGCGCGCTCTGGCTTGCAGTTCGAAATCGCGAAAGTAGAATAGATTACTCTCCATTTTGGTTCATAAGCGAAAGCATCCTAGGCTAAGTAAGAACGGCGCGCCCAGGTCTGCTGTCGTATAGAGCAAGCTATGTCCGGCCTCTCCTTAAAGGCAGAGGCTCGGCAAATCTCAACATAGTCAAATTTTCGCTTACCTGGGGTTATTCAACACGCTGATCACAAATATCCGCTCTAGAGAGCTTGAAAACTGCGAAAACGAGCGTTTTTCAACGCCCTTCCTATCAAAATACGAGTGCAGCAAGGCTGATGACGCTGAATCGTTGCGGGACCCAATGATTATAGCATTGCGACGGGCAGCCTCCAATGGTGAGAAGGAAGTTGTCAACTCGTCCTGGCGCGTGTAAGATTGGCTCGCGCGTGTAAATTTGAGGACGATTTTCTCGACAGGGAAGGCATGCTGTGCAACCAGGATTGCACTGTTTTCGTACATGGACGATAAGGAACCCACTGCGTTAAAATCTTGGGTTGTCAAGTTTTGCCGATCCAGTGCCTTTAATAAATAGGTATTTTCTCCAGCTCACAAGAGTCATGAGGGTTGTATTCCTATAGCGACAAGCAAAACGACTGGCTAAGCCACTTCTCCGAGAAAATCTTGTTCCGCTTTCTAAATTTTTCGAAAAAAAGAAAAGATTTTACCGTTCTAGATCTTTGAATTTGAAAATCAACAAATTATTCGTCAGTGAAATTGCACATGTTTACACTTCGCAACACCCATTTTTTTGAGGCGTGAGGGGTTAGCTTGAACCTAACTACCGCGTTTGAGCACAAACTTTAAGCTTATCCACTACCCACTATCCTTCACCACTATCCACCAGCAGAAATGATTGTATTAGGTTGGTGCAAAAATAATGTCCGTTTTGCAAAGTTTCAGTTTGAAAAGCTTCAACTTTGCTCAGTCTCATTTTATTGAATATCAACACCATTAGAAGCACTATGAATTTCGCATCAAAGCGCACCTGCTCGTACTGGTATCGCAAACCCCGAAAAAAAAACCATGCGTCGAAAAACCGAAAGCTTTCTTTTGAAAACCACATCTAGAGATTACAACTTTTTCCAGGTTTTGTTCCTAAGGCTGATAATCAAATTATAGAGTAGCCGCAGGCCAGCAGTACACATTCGTATAGAAAAGACTTTGACGAAGAAGTTCTGCTAAAAGAAAAGAAAGCAAATTTGTCCCCTATTTGGAGCCTACTTAGTAAGTCTAAAAGTCCCAAATACGAAAGTTTGGAATTCTTCATGCACTGAATAGCTAAATTTTTCTGCAGAAATTGCAGGCAAAATGTCCTAATCTTGAACTTACAGAAATGAGTAAAGCTTCGGCGATTCATCAGAGCGCTTGTTATATTGGGTTGTTTCAAAAGTTCTACCTGTTTTCGATACCTTTTTTTTGAGCTGCCGATTTTGGAGGAAGCAACCACTTTTCATAAAAAATGCTTACATCATTAAAAAAGCTTTTTTCTTTTAGTTTTTCATGCATACTTTCGTTTTCATAGATCTTTGTTCGCTGGGTGGTTGCGCACTTTGAAAAGACAGCGAAACAAATGTGAAAATTTTCGTCTTTGCTCTATCGCCGTGAAATCTACACCCAAAAGAAAAAATTTCTTTTAAAACATACATATTGTTTGCTGGAGACTTGTGCTACGAAACGCCCATCGAGATATGATTTCAGAAGAACTTTGAACCTACAAATCTTTAGCTGAAACATAACCTGCTTTATGGTCCCTTGAAGTCGCATAAAAATCATAAACATATTGCAGTCGCGGAACTTTTACTCTATATAGTAAGATTAGAGCTAGAACAACTGCTACTAGAAGAACGAAAAGATTTCCTGGTTTGTCAACGGCGAACAAAATCAAAAATATCAAAAAATGCCATTTTTTGCCGCCTCCGAAAGAGCAGAATAAGCGGGTCCTTTCGAATTTTTCAGCACAAAATTTTTATGAAAGAGTTTGATGAAGTCCAAAGTTAGCGGTACTACTCAGTCGACTAAGGGCTACACTGTGAGCAGTGCTTGTGCAACTCAGGTATATTCCAAATCAAGTCATTTTGCAAAGTGAAGGTTTCTACAAGGAGATGTTCCTCAATTTTCGCCTATAGAATCTTCTCCACTGTTACCGCAATGATCTTAGAGAGTGCGCAGAATAGCCAAGGATTTGCAGGTTGTAATACAATTTATAGCGATTGCAAAGATTATTTCTGAGAAGACTTACGGTGAATCAAATTCAAAGTTCGAAAACGGGTAGAACTTATGAAACAACCCAATATCATCGCATTAAAAGATTGTTAAGTGGTTTTAGTGATTTACACTCACTTCACCGACTCCGCCATAATCGTTGAACGTGGTACACGGGCATTCACTGCTGCCGCGGTAATCGCTAGAGCTGCCTGCAAAGTCGCTGCAGATGTTACAGTCATTACGCTTGTCGTCTAGAACTCTTGCCAGGAGTTTTTTAGCACCTTGTCGCGCCTAGGTTCAATATCAGCCTCGGAGTTAGCGCGATGTTCATAATAATTAGGATACCGTTGTAATTTATAAAAAAAAGTCACTGCACTCTTCGCCGGAGTTCGCCGATCTCCAAAGTTATTCAACTCAGCTCGACGAGATGCATCTTTGGTATATAAATGTGCCTCCTTGGGCACGACAGGTGTTCAACTTCTAGGGAACCTTCCGATTCTTGCTCAGGTAGTTTACTTAAAGTGGGTCTAGTCACTGCACAACGAACAACCTACCGGAAAAAATTTGGAAAGACCCTTGAAATTTGGCCGATTGTGTGCTCAAACCTCGTCGAGTTGGGTGATCGATGTCTTTGGTTTCAAAACTCGCTCACTTTTAAGCAAGATATGGCTATGCAGCGCGAACTTTGGCGTCCGGCGGAGTGGTGATTTTTCGGAAATTACGAGCCTTGTTTTGTACATCATTCTGAACAGCAAAAAAATATGATTTAATGAGAACCAAGCAAATAGGTGAGACTACACATAGCTTTCTGAAAGAAAGTGCTAACAAGTATCTTTGCATTCCCAAATAACAGAAGTTGAAATTTGAAAATGTTTAAGTTAAATCATTTTTCTGTCATTCAGCGTCGGTGGAGAACGGACGAGAACAACAGTAGGAAGTGTTATGGACACAACAGTAAGAGAAGTTTATCAAAATTAGTATTTGATAACCCAGTAATGTTAAGCGAATTAAATAAGCGTAGGTCAAATACAGTGAATAGGTCACTGATAAATAGAATGTATGCCACTATAATGGTACAAAAGAGCACAGCGTAGGTCATCAATGAAGTCAAGATGTCTCATTTTAATCCATACAATCTCCTACAAGAAAATGTGTAAGTGAAAAATTTCCACCTCTCCAGGTATTGGAAAAATAAAAAACTCAAAACGGTGGGTTAAATTCAAAGCCCAAAACTCGTTGCTTGTGACAGTTGTCATTTGTGCCATTTGTGTCCATTTGTACACTTCAGCTACAGGAAAAAGGAAAAAGGACCCAGTTTACCACAAAAGCACTTAGAGCCTCAGTAACAATTTTTGCATTTTGATTCACTTTTTTATAGCCTGTAAGTTGTAAAAAATTACACATTTTGATTCAAATCAAAAAATGTAGGCAGCACGAAAAGTGAATATCTTGTCTCAAGCTTATTACCTATCTAAAAAATTACATATTGTTTATTATTTGATATTTGATCAGAGAAAAAAAAGAATTCAGCGACAATGACTAATGATTTTTCGTAAGTGCACAGCATTGGTCTTTGCAAAATAAGCTCAACAAGTCTGCATGCAAAGCAGGCGAATTAGCGCTCCGAGATTTGCCATTAAACACCTTTTGTCTATTTATATTAAACGCTAGGAATGCAAATTTCTAGTCATGGAGAACATGAATACATGAGAGCTTAACATAAAGTAAAGTGTATAGCAAAAATCACCCTTCTGAAACAAAAACGACCTAAAACATTTCAATTTTTCCCTTTTAAAACATGAGAATAAGCAGTAGATTTGATGGTATAAATTTATTTTGTGATTTCTTTAAAATTTGTCCAAAAAATCTCTCTAATTAGCAACTTCAGATTTGATATCTACATGAGGATCAAGCTTATCTCATACCGCTTACTAAACATCTTCTCAAAAAATCACCTTAGTTAGTAATCAATGATAGATCGATCAATGATGGATCGAGAGGGTGGGGGGGGGGGGGGAGGGCGCGCGTCTCCCTCAAGAATGGGTCACGAAATTTCAAATTTAGTACATGGGCTATAAAATGTGCATGTGATTTGTTAATTCTTGTAAATATTAGGTTGGCGGATAATTTCTGTCACACTTTTATTTTTATTTTTTAAAATCCAAGAAACTTTCGAAAATTCTTATGTTTGAGGAGTGTTGGCGGGGTGCAAAGGTCTACCCGCCGGTACTGTCAGATCCGCGGTCCATACGCAAAACACCCACTTTATCGGTGGGAGTACATTTTATGGACATTCTTGTCAGCGGGTTGGCATTCTTCTAGGTGATTGGGAAGTGACCGGGCGATGTGGTATTCGGGCAGGGTATGGTCCATAGTTTTTAGCGAACATAGGGGAATGGCGCAATCATGTCCGCACACGATCACATGAGCTACGGGTTGCGACATGTCAGCGCACATTGACATTTTGACATGAAAAACAAATTTTAAAAATTCACAAAAATTATTTTCAATCTCTACGCATCTTACCCTACACGATGCACACAAAAAGAAAATTTTTTGACTAATTTTTGATTTTTTTTGAATTGTTTTTCACCCCTTGTTTTTGGTGTGTTAGTGGGACCAAAGTGCTACCATAAAAGAGGGAATGCGAAAATATGTTCTGAAAAATTTATGGGAGAGAAAAAACACAATAGACGCAGAGAAAAAAATCAAAGAAAAAATGACAATTTTGATTGTTCTTATAAAGTTGTCGTAAAGTCGCTGGCTTATTGTGCATTTGCGGCACCAATCGTACTGTTGTGTACGCCCTGCAGTGGCCTACATATGGAGCAACTTTGAAGATTCTAGAGAACTTCTGAAACTTTCCAGAATTTTACGAAAAAAGTGTAACAGAAATTATCCGCCAACCTAATATCTAAAATAATTTTTAAAAGTCTTTAAGAATTCAAATCAGTCTTGTAAAAAGAATTTTTTGAGGGCGTGGCTGCCGACATCCACGTCCCGCAGAATTTGACAAGCACCTCAAAAACTTCTTCGCAGTGAGTAGCTTACGCCACACACCTTCATTTGAAAAAAGCTTTAGGCGCTTCCCCCTTCCCCGCCCCCCAGACGGAAATCCTGCGACGATCAAAGTTAATAATATATCTCTCACTAAAAATCTTTTTTTCGCACTGATAAGATGGCAATTAATTCCATAGAAGTTTTGACGTGCCATTTTTTGAAATATGTACTTTTAAATGCTACAAATTTCCCACGGGAGCAGAAGTGATTTTCCAAGACGTCCCATACCACTCAAAGCTGCTCGTTGGAGGCAGTGCAAAAATTTCAAAAACTAACTTCGTATTCATAAGCATCAGATGTACCGTGATGCCCAAATTAAGCCCGTGTTTCAAAATTTTGCATTTCGAATTGCGGATATAAAAACCTGATTATCTCTCCTTCTTGCATCGTTTGAAAAGACTTATTGAGGAATAAAGAATTGTCGTTACCGGATTTGGTCTTTTTTGCGCTCATTATCTGAATTCGTTGGATTTTCTTTTCCTTCAGATTACCTATTCGAGATGTTCCTGAGTGATGCGGTGGGAGCGATTTTTTTACTCAGTTCGACACAAATTCAGCATAGACGACAATACTAGTTTACTTTGAACAGCTGTTTGGAATCGGATGAATAATTTTTGAAGAGAAATTTGCGTGTTTTATTGGTTTGACGAAAAACGATTACAAAGATCTGAGTGGCTAATTTGATTTGGGTGGAAAGGAAGTTTACTATAATCGAGATAATACGATATTTCCTTTAACAAAACAACAGTGGAAATTTCGTATGAGCTTAATGACGATGTTTACTAGATTTCGACATCAGCACAAGTTGTGGAAACATATGCTCAAAGTCGACAATTATATGTAATAATTTGTTGAGATTACAGTACCCTAATTTTAACAAACGGAAACTGCTGTACTGCGACGTTTGTTTGTCATATTAAATATAGTACTTGTTTTCGAAGGCTCCTTGAATGGGTTAAGAATGCGCTTTCGCAAAGATCCTATAACACAAATTGTCACAACTATATTCGTGCATGGAATCCACAGCATTGTCGTGAAGTAAAATAGTCTCATTAATGCGTAGGTCTGAAAAGCAATCAATGAAGAGTGATGATGACGATAAATGAACGTTTTTACCTCTCCTATACGAAATCGTCGAAAAATGCTAGAGCATACCACCGCTCCAAGTGCTAATATAAGGCAACCGCCATGAATCAAAATATTGACTTCATTACGATTTCTGCAACTAAGGAGATGAATGTGAGCGTTAAATTTTCCGGTCTCAAAAAATTATTGCAGAGAACATATTCATAGAACGATTATAGCCGTTTTCAAAAACATACGCTTTCATTCGCACTGTCGAAAAAAGTAAAACATAGCCGAAGAAGCAGAGCAGAAGGGCGGTGGCTCGATATGTCAATCCCATGATGAATATGATCTAAAAAACTTCAGCTTTCTTTCGTGGTTACATTAGCTTATAAACTGCCCAACCTGGTCATAAGATGCGTCGATAGTGCTCAACAGAAGTGGATTTGTTATACCTTTGAGTCCATATTGAAAATCATAGAGAAAGTATAGTGGTATAACAACAATAGTCGGGAGAGAGATTTGTAGTATAAGGATTGTCCAACTTTTCATCCGTTCAGTAGTCTAAATTACAAAGATGGGTTTGATACAATTTGATATATCCTTTTGCTTTTGACGACTTACAGCGGTCAATCTCGATCGTGGCAGACATATAGTACAGAAACGTCCTGCCACAGTTAAGAATACATTCATGCATTGTATATACATCAAATGCTCTTGAGTAATCTGTGCAAATTTAGTCCACCACGGAAAGCGATTTAGTTGGATAAACGTGGAAACCATGCTAGTGAAACATCTGGTATACATAGTTGCTGAGAAAAATATAAGAATGAATATGTTGATGAAGCCCTTGAATAAGATCTCATGGACTCGTTAGAATAATTAATGCATATATTTTTTCTCAATATGGAGTATGTTTCCTTAAACCAATCAAAATTACCTCATTCCACCAACTCCTATAGAAGAAAACCTTAAATCGACTAGACCTTCGTCCCCGAAACATGATGAGCAGCACAGCACTGCATAGTATGAAAGAAGATAATACGATAATGCAGACTACTATAAGAGCAATGTCAAGTGAAGTCTGAAAAGCATAGTTTGAGGCTAACTTCTCAACACTGCATCATTTGAAAACATTGCCCAATTCGGATGCTGATTAACACATCTAAGCCAGAGCGCTGGTTTCAATCTGTTTTGTAAAAGTGCACCATATGTAGATGTCATAATGCAAAAATGTTTTGAAGGCGGTCAACTTTTCCTTTTTCAATGGGATACCAGAGCGCGTTATATCAGGAGTAGCAAAAACTGGCAGAAAGATGATTTGGCCCAGCCCATCAAAACGGCTGTGAGCTGCAGCTTCAGAAATTCTGATTCAATAGAGCAAGGTTCTAAGCACTTTATTTTTCAAAGATTCTGCAGACTTATTTTTTTGCTGATTTTTACATCTGCGTCACTCTCAGGACAAAAAGTTTGAAAACGCAACGCTTGAGGTCCTGTCGATAACGACATCCTTCTGACCTACACATCTACTTTGAGGAGAATCTAGGTAGAGCTTGAAAAGAATTGCAACGCTTTAGATTTCAATACCTGGAAGAACATAAGCACTTCTAGCCTTAAGATTCGATCTTACCTCAGCAAGGTCCATGTAAACAGCTGAATTTTGATCTGCGAGCACAGTAGACAGAGGTGAGTCTAAATGATATATTGCATTGACATGCACGAAAAAGCTCGACTAGACTTTGGCAAATCGTACAGTAAACACGAGCATGCTCATATGACCGCTGCTAAGCAGTGCGGAATAGATGCAAAAAACAAAGGAAACTGAGCAGCGATTCGATCTCTTGACGACACCTTAATGAGCCAAATCACAAGTGCTGCTTATATGAGTGGTTTACGGATGGATAACTTGCAAATTGATCTTTGCGCCATAAAAGATTTACGTGCTGTTGTTTACGAAGTTTGCACCCAATTCTGCTTAATGATTCCAGGGTCATACATCGTTAGCAAGGAACATTATTACAGTAGGGTGAGCTCCTCTCTGCACACCACAAGCTTCTCTTCATGCAGCAAAGCGTAACGCGAAGAGTCAAGTGGGTAGTGATGCATGAAATAGGATCTCTATAAACTTCCGGTATAAAGTTTAATAGTGAGCTTATTTAAAGTGAGAGTTGCAGAGTTGCGCCAATATGAAAGGTCTCCAGAAATCAAACATTCAAATGATGGGAACTAAATGTTTGTTCTTCATAACAAAGAGAATGAGTTTAGAAGAAGTATATAAAAAAGTTTCAAATCTTGATTCTTCCGAAATCATGCTCAAATGCAAGGGCCTAGCAATGCATTCTCAATGCTAGGATCTCATATGTTCTCCTCCTTGAAAGGTTTTTCTCTTTTATTTATAATACATACGAGCTGGCAAACCCGGCTCCACCCGGTCCTGTCAATAATGTTTTCGAATCAGCATGTTCACTTACCCCCTCCCCACCCTGCACACCCTGCACATCCTGCACAACCTGCACACCCTGTACAACGTGCAAAACCTGCACCCGAATGTGCACAAACAAACTCACAGATTTTCTGCTTTATATATAGAAAGATTAGTGCAAGATCTATGTCAAATTTGCAGCACCAAAGTAGTACGACGTTATAAACCTTTGATTCTCTCTACTGAAACTTACAGAAGCAGAATGGCTACACTTGGAGATGAGAAATGCTGCGCTTGAGGAGAATCGGTTCTGAATAACCGTTAAGTCACCCATATGCTCTGATTTCGGGCAAGTTTTTTAGGCGATTTTCGCAGTTCGGCATACTTGGTTCCGTTTTCAAAAAATCCCGCGAGTGCACATCTTGCAAAAGCCTACTATTCCTACAAGTCACAAATGGGAGTTTCTGCCCAGACATCCAAGTCCAGGCCTTATTTTTACCGTGACGACTCGTGGATAATTTTTATGTAGTTTGAATTCGTATTCCTAAGGTTTTCCTAATAGGAATGTATTAGGTTGTCCGGAAATCAATGTCCGTTTTGAATTTCAACCGCAACAAGTCATACATTTTTCATTCCTGAATAGCTTTCAAGGTATCGTTCGATAGAGCAAAGCAAGCTCTACAAGATGGCTGTCTTGCCTTAGCAACAGCTCTGATCCACCTCGAGTTTCGAGCCAAAAACTAAAAAGATTCAACTGCCCGAAAAATCAAGAAAAATCATTATTCAGTTCGTAATATCTCCACAAAAATTCTAACTTGCTCACGTAAACACCATTCACATAAGACATATATGTACGCTATTGCCGTATTTTTTCCTCTGTTAGAAATCGAAAAAACGAAAATTTTCATGCTTTTGCAAGAGTGATGCTGTGTCGTCCCCACATAAGTAGATGTGTACTACAAATCTGTAGAAGTATAAACGTAAATTTTCAGTTCTCTATGAGCTTTAGTTCTCGAGAAGTATCGAATTTAGCTTCCATTAGTCAGGTGGTTCAAACTAAAATTCAAATTTCTCGAGAACTAAAGCTTGTAAAAAGCTGAAAATCCACGTTTTTACTTCTACAGATGTGTAGTATACATCTACTTATGTGGGAACGACACAGCATCACTTCTGCAAAAGCATGAAAATTTTCGTTTTTTCGATTTCTAACAAAGGAAAAAATACGGCAATAGCGTACATATATGTCTTATGTGGATAGTGTTTACGTGAGCAAGTTAGAACTTCTGAGGAATTCTTACGAACTGAATTATGATTTTTCTTGATTTTTCGGACAGTTTAATCTTTTTAGTTTTTGGCCCGAAACTCGAGGTGGATCAGAGCTGTTGCTAAGGCAAGACATCCATCTTTTAGAGCTTGCTTTGCTCTATCGAATGAACCTTGAAACTATTCAGGAATGAAAAGTGTATGAGTTGTTGCGGTTGAAATTCAAAACGGACATTAATTTCCGGACAACCTAATATATTATTGTCTGGATATGTTCAAGTAAGTGATGGGGAAAAGAAAGCTGTATAATCAACGAACTGATACACTAGAAAGGGCAATTAGCAAGTATGTAAATACGACATATCTCCGAATCACACGGGCTCATGAATGAGCAATCAGTTGTCTCCAAACGCTTTACAGGATGCGAAAAGTAGTTCTTGGTAAAGAAGGAAGTATGAAGAATTAACGTCATTAAAGAATGTTATCGCGGTGATTAGCTGATATATTATATAATATTATGTTAGGTTGGTGCAAAAGTTATGCGCGTTTTGCGAGTTCACACTTTGACGTACTATAACTTTCTTAAAAATCCATGTTTTTCAATGAGGTAAAGATCATCAGAAGCAGCAAGCCTTTTCCAAGACAGCGACATCTATCTATAATCATATCGCAAACGGGCAGAAATTTATTGACGGCTAAACAAAAAAGTTATTTTCTGATACCTCGTTTTAACTGATCATAACTCCCCTCAAAACTAGTTAGTGTAAAAGCTAAGTAGCCTATCTTGTAGACGCAAGCCAGCAGTATAAAAAAACGATGGAAAGGGTTCTAATAAAAAAGATTTTCGAAAAGAAAAATATTGAAATTCAAAATTGTCAGTTTTTTTCAACATTTTTTCGTAGGCCTCATCCCAAAACGTGAAGTTTTTGATTTTCTGCGTACTAAATAGCAAAACGTTTTCGCAAAAACTGTCAACGGGAGGCCCACCCTTACGCTTACAGAAACTCAGACAATCGCCGGGGGCCAGCGGACGCCGGAAAATACGCGTTGCTGAAATTTCGCATTCCGCTCGCAAATTTCAGGAAAATGGTCAACGAGTTCTTGAGGGACCGCCTGTTGAATTCTTTTTCGCTCTTATCTTTTGCATATAAATTGCTGAACCTCTGAGAAATCGACAACTCAGCAAGCGCCTTTCCGAAAAGTCCTGATTGCTTTCCAAAATATCCGCGAGCGGGGTGCGAGAAATCAGCCATCTATTTTTCCGGTGCCCGCCTGCCCCCGGCGATTGTCTGAGAATGAGCAAAGCTTTAGCGATTGCGTTCTTGAAAAGAAATTTATGGGCCACATGACCAACACGACTACCCTTGTTGAGACCCTGATATCTCAGTTTAGGTTGATCTAGGAAGATAGGAAAGTGTGCATTTTGTAGACAATTTAAGTTACATATAGTAGCCGAGCTTTCGAAAACATGCCTTCACGCTTGAAAACTGGCCAGAAAATCAAATGCGAAAAATTCTGATTCAAAGTGCGGTTGTGTAAATCTTTGCGATGTTTTAACGAATGAGGCTAGAAGCTTGTTTTAGTGACCGTTGGATAGAGCATGAAAAGAGCTTCTTGATTTGTTAATCTTTCCAAAGAAAGAAGTTTGATGGATAAAAGTTGTTCTGAAGCAAGGGCTAGAATAACGCGCATCACTTTTGCGCCAACCTAATAGATTATGAATCGTGCATAGGACATTGCAAATTTTGGATTCATCGATATGCGGTCATTTCCTCATAAGCTTCAAATATTTGAACCAAGGCATGCGAAATCATTTTGCCACTCATCAAATGTATTTAGATCGTTTACTTCAAGAAATTCCAGCTGCGGCGGCCATATTTGGCAAAAAAATTTGTGAAAATTTTAATGTTTCATCCACCCCCCCCCCAAAAAAAAAGCTGTTGTCGAAGCAAGAAGGGTAGTGCTCAGCTACGTGTAGGCTATCAACTGCTTGACTGACAAGAAATACTAGTCAAGAGCTTTCACTACATTTTTCTCATAATTTCTGACTAACCTGGAATACAAAGTAAAAGTCATAAAAATAACTCAAACTTTTACGCTCATATCAAGAAAGGGATGTTAGAATAATTTAGTATACTCCAATATCAAAAGAACGAATTTTTTGATAGTTGTTTTGTGAATATGTGCAGTAAACCGATCAAGTTGGCAGAAGCAGCTTTGGTTTTGTAAATTACAGATACATAAGAGATCAAAAAGCGCATGGTTGCCACCCAGTGGTCAACTGCTAATATGATTGTGTTATTCTTTCGTAGAAAGGAAATGAAAGAAAAAATAAGAAGACATGAAAATTTGCATAAACGGACTCATCTTTGATTCAAAATCCTGCGACATGCTGGACGGATGGGGCAGTGAATATGCAATTAACGGCTATAAAAGCTTGCAAAGGAAGTGATGCGTGAGTAAGCAGCTGTAATCAAGAAATAAGAGCATTAGATTTTTATGACGGAACTGTAGAGTAGAAGCAAAAAACAGGAACCTGGCGTGAAAAGCGATATACTTTTCACTAGCCAGTCATTTTCTCTTTTTTCGGAATAAACAAAGCAAAAGGCAGATAGTTGCTCCATGCTTGTTCAAGGAATCTTATTCGCATTTTAAGGTATCTTTAATCTTCCTTTACGCCATCTGGCAATTCCACTGCACACCATAATCGCTCGTTGTTAAGCGATGCTACCACTATTGAAGCATTCTCTAAAGGCATAAATGAAATTATTAGAAAAAAAATTATTAGAAATTATTAGAAACTAGCTGGCTTACCCGGCTCCGCCGTATCCGGACCAAACTTGGCACACATACACTTCGGGCCCCGGCGGGTGTCACAGTCCACTATTCGTTATCGATCGATGTCGATTTTACCGACTTTTATCGATTTTTTTGCAGAGTTCACCTACAGGGCTAGGAGT